GGGCAATATTAATCCCACTAGTAAAACTAATTTTCGTATTTACATATAATTCATTACATACATTCAGTTGCCTCTTAGTTTTAATAAGCGCATTTGCCCTCCAAAAATCCAACAAACCACTTCTTACCTTGAGGCACAGCACGTGCTTATGAGGTGCAATAAAATAAGCAGAGTAGATCCACAGTTATCTAGCAAAGGCATATTGGCACAAAAAGCAGGTATGGAAAAAGGCGTGGAAGCAAGTATTTATTTTTTAACATTATAAAACACACCAATCAAGTTCTGCGTGGACTCCATCGTGTACACACAAATGCACGTGCTGGTGAGCCGCCACTGAGAAAGAGATCGTACTCAAGAAGCAGAGAATCTAAACACCAAGCAAACCAATTTTATGCATAGAAAAATGCCAGTCCCGTCGCGTGTGGCTGAACATTAGTTAATTGTGGAATGGAATTTTGCGAAATCACCATACTCATTATATGGCCGCGTTCAACTTCATTCACGCACTCATGCATCATTAAATGCATGAATCATACTTTAAACGAAATGTTGCATTTAGTCTGAATTTTCGTTGTCTCACGTACAAATTGGCTACTCAAAAATAAGTGTGCGTGCTTATCAAGTCATTTATAATTCCCTTATTTGCATAAACAATACTGTTATGGCACCGTTGGAATGGCCAAATTTTTAGTAAACTGTTTGACTTGTCTTTGAAGAACACTTTAAATCACAGACTTGATAAAATATCCCATTACAACTTTTAAAGAGTACATCGCTTGAGTAAAGCTTAAACAACTTTACTCAAATTAGCAGCGCTTTTAGAACTGCTTGCCATATGTATATCGTGCCTTAGAGTAGAAATTACTGGTCAAATACTTGGGTGCCAGGCTCATTGGTCCTGCTAAGAAGTATACAAATTTAAGAATGATTATTTGAGCGCTGACATAAGATTTAAGCAGCATGTATAAATATTGGTAGCACTCACTGCCACTTCCTTTACCCAAAATACTTTCCCTTTTGACTTATCATTCCGCTTATTTTTATGAGGCTATAGATCCAATCAAACATTCAGCGTGATTATGAAGTAGGAAATTATGGAACACAAATCACACTTAGACATAGCCATTAATGACGCGCTTACCAAACTATTAAAAACAGCTACATAAGGATGTTTGGCTTTTATTATATGCATACGTACTTACATAGCCCATCTTGAAACAATTGACCATGGGAAGTAATTGGCATAGCTAGACAGTAAATTGAAGAGAACTAAAAAGTGGAAAAAGAAAAAAGTATTGTTATCAAAAATGATCCATCCTAAATAAAAGGGTAACAGGAGAGCATTTGGTATTAGTCGTCAATCATTATATGTTTAT